ATAAAAAAGAAACACGGATTGTGATGATGCATCGTTTTTTTATATGAACTAGCAGTCAGTTAGCCTACGCAAATGTAGGCCAAAGTTCATTTACTATGTATCTTCAGTTTGTTAGATGCGTGAGTTATGATGTATCATCTGCAAAAGTCGTTTTCCTACGGTTGTTTCTGTAAAAAGTAATTCTTTGTAGAGTGGTGATGGGAGTACATATAAAAAGAAAATATTGATTTGTGGTGTAAATGAAATATAGTAAGCTATTAGAATTAGATGAACGAACCATGTTTGTGAGTCATAATCACAAATATCAAGAAAAAGAATAATTAATTGAGGCAACTGTGTGATAAAACATATGATAGGACCAAGAAGAAGATCGATTCGTTGACGTGCTTGTTTCAGAAGAACACTGCGTGCTGAAACATGATGACTACTGGCCTTTGAACGACTAATACCAATTATAATAGCCAAACTTGCCATTAGATTCACCAGAAATGGACTGATCTGATGACCAAGTGACATGTATTGCATGAGATATTGTTGGCTCGGTTTAATTTCACCAATACACCATGGATACAGATCATCGGGATGACTGACTAATTTATACTGATTGATATGAGGATAATTGGAGCTGAAAATAATGATCAATATTAATATACTAAGAAAACCAGCCGATTTGGGTATGCGTAACAATGAAAATTTTGTAGGTAATATAACAGCCAATGCTCTCTCCACTGTAACAAAGGCCATTAACCACAGGCTGACATAATAGAGGGAGACCATGAGATAAGGTAGACTCTTGCATAAGGCTTTATTTGCCTCATGACTAATGATAATATGCCGTGTAATATAAAGGTAAACAACGCGAGTGAACAAAATAATGAATACAAATTGGCTTATAATCGAATTGAGAAGAAGATAAACTCCAGTGCCACATCGACGAGCTTTCGGCTGTGCAAACGTGATCATACAGAGACCATTGAAAACCATACTGAAGACGAAAAAAAGAGTAGGACCAATGAAATGATAAGCATCCCATTGTGTTTTTTCAATGAGAAATTCCAGAGAAAGTGAGAAACGACTTGGGGAAAATTGACAAAGTTTACCAGATACACATTTCGGGCAAATACAGATAAAGTCACTCTTATTTTGTAAATCACCTTGAACACAATAGCCTTGATTGTAACAATGTGTGCAAGCTGTGTGTCGTTGATGATATGATATACATTCGCTTTTGGGTATCATTTGCGAACTGCAGTAACAAATGTAATGCTGCAACAGGAAACATGGATCACGCGCTGATTCTTGACAAAAAATTCGTAGAAGTTTTATTGAACGAAGCTCAGTTTCCTTTAGCGATCGACAACGTTGTGGCTGCACATCAAGATCGACAGTATAATTTCGAGGAGAATTTGAACAATTAATATAGAGCAGATGTAGAATGATATCAACGGATCGTACAAGTGGTTCAAACGTAAAAAATAATCCAATTTCAGGTATGGCTTCTTGTGCATTGCGTACATCACGCGTCTTGATTATTGTACTAATCGGAAAATTGGTTGACGGGTGAATGAGAATTTGTTGCTTTAAGCGTGGATAGTCGGCAGATATTTTCAACAGTTGAAGAAGAAATGGTAATTGATTTGATTTTTGTCGATGCATGACAATCATAGTGTTTCGCGTACCACAGTTTGATGCATTACATATACACCAATAACGATTAGGCAGTTGATGTGAGACTGGATAGCATACTTCATCTGTTGAACATGAATGTGACTGTTTACATATCGTATTACGCACGAAACAATGGGGTTCCAAATATCCATTCGGACAAATGCAAACGTGTAGATCTCGTGCAACAGAATGGGGAGCACATTTAATATCATACAATGATCTCTCACAATAGTTGCCTTGCCAACCTCGTTGACACAAACATAAATGTTGACCATTATTCATCATAAGGCATGTTCCGCTATTTTCGCATAGATTTTGCAAACATAACCATGGTAGAATACGTTCGGGAAAGCGTAATATTTTGGCCACACGAAAAGCAGGTAGAAAATCAAATGGACTAATCTTATATTCCCATGCAGCTAGCAAATCACTCGAATGATAGGCCTCAAAACGTACTGAATACAATCCTTTCGATCTTGGACGAGGATATAATAAATAGATGTTGTATGTTGCAGAAAAATCTTGATCGTAATCAACAAAAGATTGATGATCGACTATTTGACTATCATTATACAAAAGCACAACTAATACAGTAATAATTTGTGGAATATCAAAACGATGACGTCGATCGAAACGTACACGTACAGTAACACGTCGACTATCATACTGGCAGCGATCACCATAATAACTAGGTGGACAAAAACACAGAAGTTTCGCACCATTATCAATATTCAAATAAAAACCACGATGGCAAAAGCCATACATGACAGGTTGGATAGCTTCTTTAGTATCAGACAAAACGAACGATACTCTGGGAGCATTGACCGTTCGTTGAGTAGTTGAATGTTTGTAGCAAGATTCCTCATAATTTAACAAACGTTGATATTTGCTTGAACGATATATGGTTCCTACAGCCGTCGAATTCGGACACCAAAACCAATGTGATCTGTCCGAACATGTTTTTTGTGGATGACACCGACTATCCTTACATCCTCTCCTATCTTCACAAGAAAACTGCTCTATGGCACATCGATTTTGATTCCAAAAACAAATGAATTCATCCGTTCGATCTAAACAATCGTCAATTCCATTACATAAAACTGTGTAATTTAGACACTTTGTTTGATTGTCACATAAGAAACGATCTCCCAGTACCAAATGATCAGGACACGAAAACACATTACGTTCATCACGGCCACCGACACAGTCAATTTGACCATCACCAGCTTTGACATAAGGAATACATGGACGTGTGAAATTAGGAGCTTGTATGTACTGTGAAGTGATACAAAAATGTTCATTTGTTTTATTACATATTCCTTCTAGAGTCCATTGTCGTGTTCGCCAAGAACAATTTAATTCATCTTCTCCATCATTGCAATCGAATTCCCCATCACACAAATATGTTTGATCGATACATTGACCTGTCCTGTTACATTGATACGTTCCATCTGAACAAATCCATTGAGAACAGTTCGTTTCATCTCGACCATCCATCGTATCCCAAACAGAATCACAATGTCGATGGTAGGACAATCGAACATTTTTAATTCTGTCTTCATCGATTCCATTACCTTGAAATATCCAACAAGCATAACCATCATCATCATCACATTTCAACAAGGACCAACGAACTTCACGCGAAATTTCATCGCTTCCATCGACACAATCATTTATTCCATTGCCCAATTGCTGAAAGCTAACATATTGATCCGGCGATGATACTGTTTGACACTGATATCTAAATGGTCCAGTTATTGTATGATCATTATTCTTTTCATCATCGCCATAAAGACAATCAGAATATCCGTCGTTGACACGACGGAGTGCTAAATGATCTGATATATTTCGACAGGAGTAGAAGAGTGATTGATTAGTTGAATAATTAACTAATCTTTCAAGTGATGCTTGTGTGGCTGCCACTTGGCAGAACAAATAAGATATTGGAAAATATGGAAATGATATAAGCTTTTGAAAATCCTCATGTAATACACAATAATCCTTTTCAAGAGTCATCCAAATTCCATTGCATGCCATTGAACCATTGAGACAATACAGATGAGGTTTTCTTGGTATTTGACGATTAAAATTTTGTTGACTTCCATAGAATGTCTCGAGCAAGGATCTATTATAGAACATTTTCAATACTGGTGAGATTATTGCTTGTTCCGGATATTGAATAAGTTCTGGACAACGATCAACGATATTATTCAATGCAATCTCACGCGTCTTATTTGATAGTTTATTTTGATTTGCATTTAATAAATGACGAAGACTTAATATACAAGTTGATGAATTCCTCAACGGAAGAAGTTCGGGAGTTGTCTGTTTACAAATACCAATCGATGCTTGGCGATTACTCATTAAGGAATCAACTGTTTCACATAAATAAGCTGCATCACGTGAATTTTTACATCCATTTTCATGATTAATCAGAGCCGACCAATGTATACATTGTCCATCTCCACATGAAAATTGATCTTTACGACAGAGTCGTTCATCACATTCAATTTTTGATTCTGTCGAACAGAAGTCAAATATTGTATAGCTTTTACTCAATTCTTGTTCATCACTCAAATCCATACAATCAAATGCGACGTTATACAAGAATTCTTTAGGAATACACATTCCATTACGACATTGAAATTCATCTGCATCACATTTATTGAATTCTAACAAATGGCAATTAAACTCATCGGTTGCATCTTGACAATTAATAATTCCATCACAGACTTGTCGCCATTCCAAATCGGAAGCACCCGCATTACATGGCATTTCATCGACAAAAGATGTTAATGTTTCATAGCTTTCAATATTTCTACTTCGCTGATTTTTTATTACAGAAGCAATATCTAAATGCCGAGATACCAATTCATATTCGCAGTTCATACCAATTCGATTCTGAGTGCAGTTACAAATGGTTGTATTATCCGTGAAACTATTATAAAAAGAATTTAAATATTGTGCATATTGCTCAATAAGATGAAATGGAATAAACCATTGAATAAGCGTGTCAATTGTGACTTTGTTCTGTTTTAGTATTGTAAAAGACCATAAAGTACCATCAGCGCATTCCATATTTGTTTTTCTTACTAAGAGAATATTATCGCTTGTTGAACGACAGAAATGACGATAGCCATTTAAAAAACAAAGTAAATCCTTTTCATCGTTAGAATAAATCAATCAGTCATAACGTCCTGCTCGAATAAAATATATGAATAAATTCAAAATTAGTACGAACCGTATTCGCTGAATTATCATTGATCTTTTAAAATGTTATCACTTTATCAGTTTTTAATGGTTCTCGTTATAGAAAAGAAAAATACAGACTCACTACTAATGAGTTTTTCATCACGTACTAAACGCATACATGTACTATCACGTTACATTCTATGCTTTTTTTTGCGCAAATATTATCTGTTAATAAAATCTCCAGGATTACTAACCAATTTCTCTATTCTTTGAGCATTAACTTCGACGGTTAAGGGGCTCCCCCCCCCTCAGAAAATCGATTTTTCTGAAAAAAATTGATTTTAAGATAAGCACATGTACTGGAAGCACAAAGTGTTCTCTTTCAGATTATGTGCGATTTATTGCACTTTGAATGGTTTTTGGTGATGAAAATATCGGTTTTCTGAGAGCAGTAGTAAAAATTTTCCTTAGTTACAGGAATATGATAATAGTCAACAAACTTGTCGACGGTTCCAAATGAGAAATACATATACGTTCTGTTATTTTAATTAATTAGAGCGATAAGGCGGATTTTTCAGAACCAAATTTAGTTTTTAGAATTCTTTATAGATGACGAAATTGCAGTATAGAGGTCGTGACCGTCATAGTGAAATAAAAAAATTGTTTCATATTTAATTTAATTATGTAATTTTACGCTGATTTCAAATATATATAACACTAACTACTTTTGTTACATTCACACCCATTTACACATCTCACAAACTTGTTTATTCGTTTTCTCAAAATCACTTTTTTGGAGAGCTCGGAACCGATTTCTTAGACTGTAGAAGAGCTAGCGAACTACTGTTTTTTTTTAAATAAAAGGAGAGACCTATGTCTAGAAATGTATATAGCGTTTTTTTCGAAACTCGATTTCTTTGCCGAGATAACTGGATAATACTGATGTTAAAAAGCGCTAAATTCCGAGTTATTGCAGGAAAATGTCTCGGAAATCCGAATAAAATCGAATTTCGAAAAAAACGCTATATACATTTCTAGATTCAGGTCTTCTCTTTTATTTAAAACAAAAGGTAGCTCTCTACCTCTTCGACAGTCCGAGAAATGGTACCTTACGAAGACCACCATTTTGGGGACTAATTTGTCAATAACTCGTTAAAACAAAAACTTTATGAGCCAAAAATTTGCAAGAAATTAAGTTAAAACAACACACATATTGCCTGAAAATTTCAGCCAAATCGACCGACGAATAACGAAAAGCGATTCCTGAGGGGGGGGGGGAGCCCCTTAATCATTCTTTTATCGCTTCCGTTGATGTCATTTAATTCAAATATGCAATACTTATGCAAATAATTAACATATATGAATTGGAGATATGTCTGCAGAGCTTTTGTGTTATGCCACTAACGAGGGAAAGTCACCAACTGTAAAATCGCTTTTGAGCTGATATTTTGGCTATAGGTAGGGGGCCACGAGACTAGAATAACCCTAAGATGATTTGGGCCGCTAGATCTTTGGGACTGAGTTATGACCGTTTTACTGTTTTTTTACCTATGTCACCGGGTTACCTGCAAAAGTAAATTATCGAATTTCGACCTGAAATTTCGTCTATGAAGAGGTCTACGGGCCACTAGAATACCCTGAAAGTTTCAGACGAAACAAATCAATCCTTCTTAAGATATTGAATTTTCAAAATCCGACCATTTTGCTAGTTTTTTCTGCAGAATGGTCGGATTTTCAAAAATTCAATATCTTAAGAAGGATTGATTTGTTTCGTCTGAAACTTTCAGGGTATTCTAGTGGCCCGTAGACCTCTTCATAGACGAAATTTCAGGTCGAAATTCGATAATTTACTTTTGCAGGTAACCCGGTGACATAGGTAAAAAAACAGTAAAACGATCATAACTAAGTCCCAAAGACCTAGCGGCCCAAATCATCTTAGGGTTATTCTAGTCTCGTGGTCCCCTACCTATGGTCAAAATATCAGCTCAAAAGCGATTTTACAGTTGGTGACCTTCCCTCGTAAGTTTGTGTTTGCTAAAAAATGATCATAAAAAGAAAATACAATTAGTTTATTCAGAATATCATATGTTTCCTTAGCAAGTCTATCCTGTTTGTTATCACTAGATATCATTGGAAAATATTCTACATTGCAATAAGATTTTTTATTCACTTGATGTTTGAAAGCTATTTGAACCTGCAATGATTCCATCCTTTGTCAATAAACTCTTAACATGGACGAAAATGAGTAGATTTTATTAAAGTTCAATGAACATATTATTTAAACTGATTGTCTGTTGAAATAGACATTATGTGTTTTTGAAAAAGTTACTAGTACCTTGCGACATCTTAGATTATATTTAGTTGGAACAAGGGAACCAATGAAGAAGCCTTTGTTTCTTTCCTTATCTTCGCTTTATGTTTGAATTTTATCTTTCATCCAGTGAAGAGAAAAACAATTCATCTGATGAAATTATAGTAGTAATTTCGAAATTTTTAAATCTATGAGCCAATAAATAGAAAAGCACGATATATTAAAAGAATCCAAATCTAATATGACTTCTTACATTGATGCATGTTTTCCGTCAGGAAATGGTCGTCGAATCACATTACGCGGTACAGATTTAGTATTTGCTAGTATCGACAATGTTTTTATTTATCCAACTCTTGATGTTGACCGATTACGAAATGCTCTTAGCCAAACACTTTCTTTCT